GTGCTGCTACATGTGTCATCCCAGCTCTGTGTCCGGAAATGTCATGTTGGTAAAACCTGAAATGCACCTTGGTGGGAATACCTGCGCCACGAAAATCAGCAGACAGTCAACATGTGAACGCGATGTGTGACTTTGATGGTCTAGGCTGCAGAAAGTGACAAAGAACATATTAACTAACACAGATGGCCTTTACACGTGTCATGTCAGTAGCCACTACATGTGAGTGAAAAATGTACTAAACATATGCAAGGCACACACACACACACGTTCATTTTCGGAGAGGCGTTGTTCAGCATTACTGGTACAGCATTGCTTCGAGGTTGTTTGGGGGAGGAGGAGGGGAGGGCTTATTTTTGTTTTGCTTTGATTCTGGTGAAAATAAGCACACCTGAACACACACGCATTCATCACTTCTACAGGAATGACTCCATGGCATCGGTTACATTCCTCACATTGCGTTCCCAGGGTCACTCGCTGCACCCACAGTGCTCCATCACCATTGATTTAGGCTCAAGACCCACTAAACTTCCCTGCTTCAGTGTGACTGCCGACATCATTCTTGAAAATATCGCCAAAAAAGAATGTCACCAATGCTGCTGAACTGGGCATGAAGGAACTATTGGTGAATGTTCCGTGGTGTACAATCTCAACAACAACCATAAAACAAGACAAATTATCAAGGAAAATGGGGTCCAGAGGAAGTTAGAGTGAGCAGGCAGAAACAATCCCACAAATGAAAATTCCCTGTGAAGGAAATGACTTGGGGTATTGGGCTTTTTCTTTTTGTCATCTTCTCCTAAAAACAGATCGCGCATGTCACTTCTCTGCTGAGGACACCTTCTGGTGGATCCCCATCAAGCCTACACTCCGGGAAAGTCACCTCCTATCTGCCGCCTGGGCCCCCAGGCTCTGGAAACAGGGCCCAGCTGCTCCGATCACGTTCACCCCCAAGGAATCCCGCCCCTTCCAATACCATGCCTTTTTCACCTGTTCTCACTAAACTTGGTAGGGGCGTATGCCTTCATCCTGCAGCTAAGTGGAATAGCTTTTGGAAACCAGCATCAGGTCCTACATGTCTCTGACCTCCTGGCAAGGACACAACTCAGGTCCCTGTGCTTGGTTGTACTTCGGGCCTCGATATGATTGAAGGAGTGAATTGCATGATAGGTAAATGATGTGCCAATAAAACTGTTGGGGGGAAAAAAGAAGAAAAGATCACATTGCTCCTAGCAAATGTTCTTTACTAAATGAACCCAACAGTCATTAACTGTGAGACCGGAGGAGCTGGACAGTGCCAGTTCCCATCACGGAATGTTTTAATCAAGGAATCAATAGGTCAATCCTGATCAAAAGGGGTGGAATCAGGAAAGGACTCTCAAATTCTTATAGAAGCTAGAAAGTCTTCAAACTATGAACCAAACTTACTCCCTGAAGTCATTTCTAAACCGAACAAGTATTTCACTCAAATTACTGAAGAAGATGCTGTATGCAGCTCTGGGTCCTGGGTCCCACTAGCTGTACAGGAGTAAGAGAGTTCTGTAATGGTAGAATGCTGGGAAGTGAGAGAGAACTTGAACTCCGCCTACCAAGTCAGTCATGTCCTCTGGCGGCTCTGCCTGAGCAACCAAACTGACCTTCTGCGCTGTTGTCGTCTGCAGTGAGGGGACTTGACGTGGACATTGACTCCTAGGAACAGAGTTCACCCAACAAGCCTCTGCAGATGTGGAGAGGTGGTTGTCCGCAGGGAGCACTCCCGAGGGGTCTCCAAATGGTTGTGGGGACATTCTGTTACCCTTCCATTCCATTTTCCTTCCACCTGTTGGAAGCCTCTCCTCACAGCCCAAGACCGAAGACTCACGAGGTCTCACCTTTGCTTACTGAAGTGCTTGTCCCACTGTCTTCTCCTCTTTGGCTTTTCTCAGACATCTGTGTTGGAAATACAGATTAGTCACGCGAGTCCCAGTTGGTTGCTTTTCGTTAATATGAACTCATTAAACGTTAAGGCTCATCAGCAAGGTCTCATTTTAAACGTTTAGTACCATTCAATAATTATTTATTGCATATCTGTCGGTAGGGGCCCCATTTCGATTGCCTTTTAGCAAGACCAAAGTAGAGACAGTGGAAGCTACCCAAATGTTTTGAACCAAGCAAAGTACAATAAGGATTTGAGGAAGCTGGTTTCCGTAGTGTAGTGGTTATCACGTTCGCCTCACAATAAGGATTTGAGGAAAAATACTATCAACACGGTACCATGGGTAAGGAAGCTTTGACATTACGCAGCAATTTGGTTTATGAGCAAAGCTGATCAGATTCCAGATTACTTAAAATTACTTTTTAAAAATCATTTGATCAAGTCACGGTATTGAGAGCTCTTTAAGTAAGATGTCGGATCCAAGAGATACATGCACTCAAGGTCTTTGCCTGCATTTGTGTAATTAGGATCTCCCGACCCCTGAGGAATGTTTTCTGTGAAAGGCAACCATAATGTACTGTCTGTAAATAGGCAGCCAGGATGAGCAGACTTCTTTGACCAGATATCATTTCAACTATTCTGCTCCCAAATTCCATAAGTGCATTTGTCAAATTCTCAGAAAATTATTATGGCAAAGGCACAAAGGTCGAGTCCCTCTTGACAAATGTGTTTCAAGCTTTTTAGAAACTTTCATGACATCCCTGACACGTAGTTCTTACGAGCATCTTCCTATCACCAGGAAATAATCACCCAGAGAAATATTTATCCCAATCTAATTAAAAATGTGGGCTAGCATAAAATTCAAAAGTGGGCAATGGCTACGTAAATTAAACTACAGCCAGGTGAGTGTGGTCATAAAACTTATTGTAGAAGAATGCTATAGCATGAGAAAATAAATGCTATGATAGGAAGTTAAGATTTGGGATGCAAATTTATTATGCCATGTGACCCCAATTTAACTAAACATTTGAAAAGACTAAAGAGCTGAAGAAATGCTCACAGAGTTAGCAATGGTTGGCTTTGCGTCATAGAGCAGTGAGTCTGGGTTTGGGTTTGGGCTTTTCCTTCCAATGTTTCAAATTGTCTACAATTAGAGGTGGGGTATTCAGGACTACTACTTAGATCTCTGGTCCTATCTGATTTCTACAATGGTGGGCAAGCGTCTCTAACAGACATCTCTACCTTTTCGGGTAATAGCAACCATTCTCTGAAAATGCTGAATCCTCTCTTAGGATAGCTCTTTTTAAAAAGTTCTTTAGGAGGGGCTTTAGATATTTTCAATGTAATATGTCAGAAGATGATTACTAAAAGATTACTTTTATAAACCTCAACATTAGTCAAAAACCAAACTCACTGCCATCGAGTTGATTCCAATTCACAGCGACCTTACAGGGCAGGGTAGAACTGCCCCGGTGGGTTTCCAAGACTGTAATGCTTTAAAGGGGTAGAAAGCCTCCTCTTTCTCTCAAAGAGCAGCTGGTAGTTTCGAATCGCTGTAACGGTGGCTATTAGTTCAATGAATTACGCTTCTAGGGCTTCTTTTAACCTAACCGTGAATATGACTGTTAGCTACCATCCATTCCGCCCATGAAAAAGTCACAACTTTGAAACTCTCATGGGCCACTTCTACCCTGCACACATGGGGTTATAGCTCGGAGCCCAACTCCCCCTGATCACACCTAACAATAGCCAGCTTTGGGGTTTATGAACTAAAACCAAACCTAATCCCACCGCTGAAAATGTTAGTTTGATCAACATAATGATTTCATAATAATCTCCATTCCTCTTATATTAAAAATACTTAAGCCCCTCCCAGCCCCCAAAGCACAACACCAAACTCACGGCCTTCAAGTTAAATCTGCCTCTCAGCGTCCTTCTAGGACAGAGTAGGAGCCCTTTGTGTTTCTGGGCCTGTAAGTCTGTACAGAAAGAGAATCGCATCTTTCTCCCACGGAACAGCTCTTCACTGCCCCGCCAAGGCTCCTTCCCTGCCCCAAATAACTTTCTTTCTTTCTCTTTTTACTGTTATTTATTTTGCATGATCCCTGTGTTTTTATCTTTACATTTATGATGTATACCAATTCACAATTGTACACACACACACCCAAAGCAACCAAGAGACTCCCCAAGATAAACTACATTGATTTCCACTGGAGTCCAGCCCCTGCCTGAAATGCCCACGCTCTATCATTCCCTCTTCAGGAATACGGTTCCAGAGGTGACACGTCTTTGTTTCCAAGACTCTCTCACTCGCTGCTCTCCCGCCCCCCTTTGCTCTTTGTCTGTCTCTTCATTCACCCACAAAGGTATTTCCCCCTTCAGTCACTTCTGCAGGTTAGGAGCGTGGCAGTCACGTGGCTGGGTGCCACTGAGATCTTTGGTTCAAGGTTTCTCAAGAGGTCGCAGTGAAGCTTGCAGCCTCTAGAGTGGGGCTGCTGTGTCTCCCTCGCCCCCCACCCAATAACTTTTTTAAAGCATTTTAAAAAGAACTCAAAGTTTTCATATCATTGTTGCTATACCCTCAAAAAAGGCATAGCTGGTTTGTTTTCTGTAAATCTCTCATTATTTCTGTTCAATTCTTTGAATGGGATTTTCTCTCCCCTCACTCCCCACCACCACTTCTCTGTCAGTTTGTCGTACGGTGGTGGCTTGAGTGTTGCTGGGATGCTGGAAACGTTTTCTTTCAAATGGCAGCAGGGTCACCCAAAGAGAATAGGTATCTGCAGAGCTTCCAGACTGAAAACAGGCAATGAAGAAGGGATAGGCGGCCCACTTCAGAGGTATTAGCCACAGAAAACCTTATGGAGAGAATCGAAACACTGTCATACTGAAAACCTCATGAAAGGAGGCAGGACGTTGTCAAAGAGTGCCAGTAGATGAGCCCTTCAGTCAAAGGGCCCTCAAAATATGACTGAGGAATAGCTACCTTCTCAAAGTAGAGTCGAGCATAATGTCGTGGATGGGGTCAAACCTGTGGAAGTCAAATCTTCATCGGCTGATGGGACACAGCTCAACAGGAGAAGAAACAGCTTCAACAATTAATTACTAATCGGATCTTGGGATGTACGAAGTATGACTCTTGGAAAATTGTAAGTTGCCAAAAATTGAAAAGGAGTTCACAAAAATCGACATTCTAGGCATTATGGGTGTGCTAAAGTGGGCTGGTTTTGGACATTTTGAATCAGAGAAGCATAGGACTTACTACACTAGGAATGACAGATTCCAGAGGAATGCTGTTGCATGCATTGTGGAGAAGGACATTAGAAGAGCTACCTTGAAGTATAATGCCATTGGTGATAGGATTATCTATATTCAAGGAAATCCAATCAATCCAACTATTATTCAAATTTAAGCACCAGCATCAAAAGTTAGTGATGAAGAAATTGAAGAATTCCACCAATGTCTGCAGTCTGAAATTGATCAAACATGCAAACAAGATGTATTTATAATTATTGGCAATTGGAATGCCAAGTTGGAAACAAAGAGGAAGAAATAGTAGTTGGAAAATAGGGCCCTGAAGATTGAAATGAAGCTGAAGATGGCATGATAGAATTTTGCCCCCCAGAAGAATTTATTTCAGAGGACAGCACTGAATCTGCAGCTCCAGGAGAGGGACATGCCTGATGAGAGCACACCGGAGCAGATGAAGGGGGAGGAAGAGAGAGTGGAGCACATCCTGACCCACCAAGCCTTGAGGATGAGATTCCCGCTCAGAGCAGCCAGTCCACAGAGAAGACCACATGGCCGGCCCCACTATGAGACACGACATCCCTCACTGACCCATAGCCCTACAGGGAACAACACTGGAGACACGGTGTGGGATTCCCGCCCGATCTATCCCACCACACCGAGGCAAAACTCTAAGGGCGTGGAACAGAACAGCAAGGGGAACAGAGCAACAAGGTCCCCAGGACATACCAAAAATAGACTTTGGGGACAGGGCGTGGCACCCCATCAGACTCGACTGGAAAACACTCCTAAAGGCCAACAAACTGTCCTTGAACTAACTACAAGTTTTTCTTTCTTGCTGTTGTGTTTTCTTTTGTTTTTTTGTCATTGGCTTTTTGTTGTTTTGTTTTGTTTTGTTGGTTGGTTTTGCTCTGTCTTGTTTTTGTTCATGTTATTATCGCCGCAGGTCTGTCTAAATAAGATAGGTTGGATGAACAATCTGGAGGAGAAAACAATTGGACCGACAGTTCTGGGGTACATGGGAGAGGGGAGGTGGGGGAAAGGAACTGGTATTAACAAACCCAGGGACAAGGGAAAAACAAGTGATCCAAATCAGTGGTGAGGAGGGTGTGAGAGGCCTGGTACGGCGTGACCAAGAGTACTGTAACCGAGAGGAACTACTGAAACTCAAATGAAGGCTGAGCATGATAGTGGGACAAGAGGAAAGTAAAAGGAAATAGAGGAAAGAGCTAGGAAGCAAAGGGCATTTATAGAGGTCTAAATA